CAGTTCCATTACGTTCAGTCGCTTGGAAATCTTCGTCCATTGTCTTGATAAAGTAAAATGAAAACTTTCCGAGAAAGCGATTTAATTTCTGATGCGACATTAATTCCACTGTGTCTGTAAAATGTTTGACATTTTTGTGTGGATTCGTTCCGCTCTCGAAGAACGTTAGAGAGTCTGGTACAATGCCAACAACAAGCCCCCTCATCGCGGCTTGTTGTTGGCAGTGTACCAGAAGGTTGTCCTTCCGTCGAAAGAGATCGGTGAATATCGGCACAAATTGTTGATGATGGTGCCAAATAAGGTCTATAGGGTCTATGGGTTCCATCCCAAGCAAACTCCGCCGGGTAATCTTGTTCACCTACAATGGGTTGTCAAATTATGCTTGATCCAGGAAAAGACATCACTGGCATTTCTTGCCTCTGTGTGGCCTTTACATCCTCATATCTAGCTTCGAGGTATACACTTGATCACAACATTTTCAGAATTGATTGTTTGGCTATGTGGTAGCAGCTTGGGTCAATGGCGTTGAACAACATTGCCTGCGCTTTTTCTCGTAGGAAATAGGCTACAGGCTTATTGGGCAGGACCTTTGGATCAGTGCCAGCTCACGTTTCCTGTGTCGTCGATGTGAGGGGGAGATCATAAATAATGACGACGAGATGAAAAGTGAGAAACATACCGGCTCTGAAATCGACGTGAAAGAAATAGAGCTGGGCGATTCTATAATTTCCCCTCACTTGCAAGGCAAATAAAGCAAAAAAACACCATAATGCCAGCCTGATTCGCTTTTTTCTTTTCATCCTTCCTGGTTCAGGTCAACAATAATTTGCTTTGAAATACTTGGGTCTGGGTCTTACGCCCTGGCTGCCGATGTTTAGATCAAAGGAAGATAGGCTTGTTCTATGTCAAAGACAGTAGCTATCTCGCGGCCACGCCAGGGGAATACACGCATAGTTAGTGCGGTTGCCCGATCTGACACGCGCACCTGCAACCTATGCCCGAATCAACTTCACCACTCACTATCTTTAATCACGATTTTGTTTTTCTGCGAGTAGTCGTGCTTCCTGCGGCGAATTGCTCATCAAATTACCTCGAGGACACAAATCAAATAGCAACGGCCAACTAGAAAGTGTGCTGACTTTTTCCTCCTTTAGTTTGCCTAGTGGTTTAAGAAAGGTTCGCGGTTCGCCCGCAAGCGTAGCACAAACTAAGTTTACTGGTCTGCAGTTTTTGGGTTTTGACTTTTGGGAGGTTGAGTTGTCTTGTTTTGGCCGCCGCAGACTGCTGTCTTTTTGGGTTGTTTTATCTTGTGCTTTTTTAGCTACGGTTTGAGCTGCTGCTAACCATCTTTCACTGCCCCGTCAGTTGAGCGCACCCAGAATGCAGTAAAGAAATAAATAAATAAATAAATAAATGATCATGTGCTTGCAGCTTGCAAGCCTGAAACACGCTGTCTCTAATCATAAGTGAGTTATTAGCAAAACATCCCTTTTTAAAGAGTACCTTTGCGTATCGTCCGCTGATGGAAAAGTCTACTCTTACTGAATGGTTAAGCGTGCCTAACTTCCACAACTTTCGCAGTCCGGCTATCACTGTTTCGCTTTTCCAGATAACTTCAAGCCGTTATCTGCGACAAAACTATTATATCCATCCATACACGGCGATTATTCTTGATGGATATCGAACTGAAACTGATTCTCGAGCAGTGAGCGCAGCCGCAGTGCGGTTGCGTGAGTGCGGTTGCGGTTTTTCAAGGTGATATGCGATTCGGCATGATGGATATCTGTAATGATTGGCACCTTGACAAGCTTTCTCATCAAAAAGCGGTTCTTGACATACACCTATATAATGCCAGTTGAGAGCTACTACAGCCAGTCCGTCCCTTAGCCCCTTATCAAATGCTTTCCAGGAACACCTTAATAATTCTACTCGTCCTCGTCACACTCACTCTTGCTTGCCATCCTGGAAAGCACAAGCATAAGAAATGCAAGGACGACCACGGACATGGGCACGGACATGGACATGGAAAGCACGGAAATAAACACGGTAAGACTTTTATTCCCTTGAACTGTATTCAAGGACTATATTATGGACTGTATTCAAGGCATAATACGTTATAATTGCCACTCGGTCTAAAATAGTAGCAGCGGTGCCTTGTAGTAGGGAAATGACGAGAAATGAAGTGCAAAGTTAACAAGCCTTTGTCCTACATGGCTCAAAAACCGATTTTGGACAAGATCCCTTTCGATATCAGGCAAATCGCTAGGGTAGATGCGACTGCATGTACACTCCTTATCCCTGAGACCAGAGTAGGCGTGGCATTTGAACATGGCACGGAACTGGTTACTCGTGGAATATTCCAGTCTGGGACAACTGTCATCAGGAAGAGCCAGAGTAGGCGTGGCATTTGAACATGGCACGGAACTGGTTACTCGTGGAATATTCCAGTCTGGGACAACTGTCATCTTGTTCTGTGTTGGACAGAGACACGACAACAGTTGTGTCAAGATGGAAATATTCCACCAGAAGCATAGACACCTTCAGGTTAAGTTGAAGAATGCAGCCCCGCCTACCCGATCTCAGGGATTTCGAGTATATGTGCTCACATATAGATGCAGTACAGCGAGCGCTTCATTTTTACCCATTCCCTTCATAATTTACTTCGCAAATGAAACGATGAGAGCATGAGCAAAAATCGTACATTTGCGGGCGGGTCGGTGGGCGTCGGGTTATGTTACAGCGTGCAGCTGATAGGGCGCTACAAGGGTACCTTTCGGAAGAGGCGCCACGCAGCGCCTGCTCAGGGACGCCTAATTCTGTGCTATGCGCATTGATCCTACATGTCTCGGGGATTTATCGTGCCACGATTTCAAGCACGCACTTTTGTCCTGAGGCGTTCTTTAACGTGGTTATCAGCTTGACCGTTCGGTCCAAAATGTCAAGCGGCTCATTAAGCTCAAGCCCCTAACTCTCCTGGCCACCGCATTATGGTGCGCCAAATCCACCCTCCCCATCCAAATCTCTTACATCTTACCGATACTTACCTCTAATCTACGAGCTTAGCACTCGCCTCCCTATAGGTTACCCCGGCGTTGGTGAAGTCCGAACGCGTTCGCCATTTCTCGACACTACAAATGAAAATCTCTGCTCACTCGCTAATTCTTAATCTTTCGTCAAAATTGCTAGCTTGTCCTCAATAAATATCTTAGTTTTCAGGCAGTCAAGAAGACGACTGTGACGACTATTATTACTACTACGACTACGAAGATGACCATGACCATGACCATCACCATCATCCCAAAGGGAAAGGAGGGAAAGGAAGTGGAAGCGGATCTGGAGGCGGTTAGCTATTTTCCGGTGTTCTAAACAATAGAAAGTAATCATTCTTGACAAAAATTCTCTTCGTTGGAATTAGTTCTGTCTTTCCAGATTAAATGGAACCTTGAATGGAGTGAAATTGTGAAAACTTTACACGGCTGCAGGACGATAGTTAAATTATCAACGCTAATTTACTTGACAAATATAAATATATTTCTGACATCTGTGAATAAGAGAAAGGAATTGAGAAACAAAAAACCGACTTCCGCAAGAGCTCTGAGTATTGTGGCTCACATTGGAAGACATTATTACGCACCTTCAGGCCGTGAAAGTGTCTGCGAGTGCGGACCAGGGTCAAGCGTGCGTCGCGGAATACGCGACAAGGGGGGGGGGCATATTTGTAGAGATCAATACTGAACACAGCAGCGACGTAGCTCGCAGGATGGGTGATGCAAGGAAGTCGAATACGTGACGCGGGTATGTGACAAGAGAACCGTAATTCGCCGCGCTGGTGGGTTCCGCGTGCGACGTCGCGCCTACAAATGCCGATGAGTCCATGTCGTAGATGGCTACAGCGGGTATTGTGGAAGCGAAGGTAGCCATGATTGTCTACAGTTTCTTAATCCACATGAAATCCGGTGAAATATGGCCCCCACTCCCTCCTCTCTAGGTATGTGAAAAGAGAATCGTAATTCACCGCGCTGGTGGGCGTCGCGTGCGACGTCGCGCCCGCAAATGACGATGGTTCCAGGTAGTAGATGGCGACAACAGGCAATTCAGAACCGAAATAGTCATGAATGTCTACGATGACGGGGTCTACATGAAGTCCGGTGCTCCAATCGACAGTTAACACGAGTTAAAAAGCGCCAATCGCCGCGCGCGGCGAAGCGGCGAATTACGATTCTCTTGCCCGCCTTCCACGTGACGCATTCCATGGAGGTGTTGATCAGCGCCTCTGTGTTATTCACTAGATGAGTAGGAGGCGTACGGAAGACCTACCGAGCTTGATAGATGGAAATGTGGGCTTTGTAGGGAGGAGGAAGATCCTCATGCTGCAGCTGAAGCTGACTTATAAATGGAAATCCGTGGCGGGCGAATTAGCGCTGTAGTTAAGCTACAGCAAGTCTTTCCTGCTCCTCAAAAGAGAAATCCGGTACTATTTACCCTATTACTGGCCCCAATGGCTGAAAATTTGTCCCGGGGGTAGTTTGACCTCCTGAACATGAAAATCACTTCCGCTAGGCACGAAACCTGCTAGCGCCCGCGCCACAGGCGCCGGCGCCAAAGTACCTTAAATCACCAAATTCGCTGAAAACTTGTTCTCAGGGTAGTCTGACCTCCTGAACACGAATATCATACCTGCTCGGCCTGAAACCTCCTGGCTCTCGCGCTACAGGCGCTGGCGCCAAAATATCCCAAATCACCGGCGCCTGTGGCGCGGGCGCCAGGAAGTTTCGGACTAAGCGAATGTCATATTCGTATTCAGGAGGTCAAAATACCCCAGGAGACAACATTTGAGCCAAATCTGTCCACGGAGAAAAAAGTCGGTCAGAAAATGGCTCAATTCTGGATGGTTGGGGCAGTAAAGGGTAAATAGTGCCAGAAATCTCAACGCCATGTAGATGTAGATCTCCCTATGCATTACGCCATGACCAAGTGACTGCCTTCAGAATTCGGATGCGATATTCGTGTTCAGCGGGTCGAACTACCCCTGGAGCCAAGTTTTCAGCAAATTCTGCCCACGGAGAAAAAAGTCGGTCAGGAACTGGCCTGATTTCGGATGACTGGGGCAGTAAAGGGTAAATAGTGCCGATTATACAAAGCACTATGCGCTCATTCAGAAGGGAAAACATTGCAGTTCATAACCATTTTAGGTTATGCCTAAACTCAGTTATTTCCAATGAAAGGTGAAGAACTCGCATTTGCCCATAATCTCCGCGTTATTTTCGGGTCAGAAGCCGTCATGCAAGCTGGATGAAACCTGTAGTGTATTCCAAATAGAGCCTGACAATACAATGAATCGTCCTTACCGCTCTGCGGAAGATGTCTGGATGAAGTTATATCCCTTCGAAAAAGTACTATGTGAATGCAATAGTGTTTCGTTTGCACGTGTCATTTTAAGGTTTCGCCAGAGTTCCACTTGGTGCATTACACAACTTCTTAGAAAATTAATCCCTCTAGAGGTTTTCTGTGATTTTGTGCGATTGGTTCGGTAGATGTTACTTGACACTCGCCATCAGTTACTTATTCTGTAAAATTCGCATAACATACAATGTAAACAGCTACATACTGATAAACACTGCTATACCTTCACGGACTCCACAGTCACTAAGGGGGCGGGATCGTATGGACACCTCTTTCTAGAGGGAGGGGTCGTACCAACTCCACAATTCTCCGCGACGTGATGCGGACAGCACCACCTCGCACAAGGAAGGAGTTCTACACATTATGAAGTCTTTGTCGCGCGTTTTCGACCGTTTCCTCCCCTTTCGCCTCACTCGCGCACTATCTAGCTCCTGTACAGTCTTGTTGGTTGCGAATGATTGGGCCTGTCAGCGAGCCTAGGTTTAGGAAGCCCGTTCTCCACCAACTGTTGAAGCAGGTAAACGGCAGCAATTGGCGGAAATCGATTGATACGAACGATATAGCGCAGTCTTGCCTGTTGTCCGATGAGAAAAGAACCTGCTAACGCCTACTTACTTACCCCTCCCCCTTGGCACTCTCCTTCATCCGCAGCGAACAAGACTGTACTTTGTTTCCGGCCGAAAAACCAACCTATCGTGCCTTTGAGCGGAAGATGCGGCTTCAAATCCCGTCCGTGCTGATTTTAACCCACAACTCAGCACTCTTGTGATAACTTTCGGATCGCGCATTGCGGCGTCAAAGAGCCGTCATCAACTTAGAAATCTTTGAAAGTGCTTACTTGAAATATTTATTTTAAATTATAACAGAGTTATTCGACGAAGTCTTTGTTTCGAATGAGTTCATCGATCATCTTCGCATGCCAATGTGCATAAGAAACGGCATGCAAAATTGGGCGGAACGGCGTGAGAAAGTCTTGAGGGTCAATTTCTTCTTGACTGACGCCTTTAGAAGAGAGTGGTTGTGGATCCTCTGAAATTTGGAACTCTTGCTATACCCGAGAGTACACTTCACAAACATATCCTGGACTTTGAGTCCTATTCAGAAGCAGATGCGTGAACCACACGATGTAGCTACACGCTCTCTCCAAATCCCCATGCTCCCATATGTAGTTGTTGAACAACCATACGCAACTGATGCAGTGGTATTGTGGGTCCAGGAAACGTCACGTCACATTCTGGTAGTACCCGTTCTGGGGCTCACGTATGTTCATAGAAAAGAGCTCGCTGTGGGTGGCTTGCTAGCCATCAGGAGATAGCTTCAAAAGGACCACTAATAATTTGAGGAGCATTTTACGCAGAGATTACTATGTACACCCCGACAAGTCGACTACCCAAGTTATCATATAATTTATATGATAACAACATATTCAACGCATTTTCGGGGAACCTAGGAGAGATCGCAGTTGTGCTAGGTTAGTGGAATCGAGACGGTTCTAGGCAAAGCACAGATCGATCGTGTATGAAAAAGTAATCACTTCTTACTTCTTCTCCCTCCATATAAACTGCGCAACTAAGAACTGCACAGATGGGAACAGTGGCTATCGGTGCGGCGCCCTGAGCGCCCTGAGGGGCCCTGCATACCTACATTTTGCTCGTTGCCACTACGATTCGGGTAGCCATCAATGAAAATAGGCTGGCGCCGAGAGGTATGAACGCAGGGAGGAAGAGCTTCTGGATCCGTGGAAGCACCTTCTGTTTTTCCTCCCCCTACGATTAATGTTCAGGATTTGGTGAGCTTAAACTTCTCGCACGGTACATGCACTGATCCACTCGGTCAGCTTAGAAGGCAAAGGTTGAACACCTGAATGTGTTCAGTCTTTCGCAATCGAAGCATATCGCCGGGATGGATGGGATGGCGGTATCAGAATCACCTTCGTCCCCAGAGGAGGGTTCCATCGAGACCTCCTTTCAGCGAATTACTACTCTTTTCGGTGGAGCAGACTATTGAGTACCTTTTTCCAAACCACTTTTCGGTGGGTATTTGTGAATAGACAAGAGCATAAAGAAACATTGGGGATATCGCTTATTATGCTAAATAAAGTTATCCTAAGTTTCTACCAGTCCAAGGAGTATCTAGCATGACGGTTTAGATGGACGAATTAAGAAAAAACAAGTGCCGGCTTTACCAATTACAAAACGTTTTACGCCATTTTGAGAGTATCGTTAGTTTGAGAGATATTTTAGCTGGCTTTCTTATGCGCGAAATTCGGAGCCAATTAAAAGTTCGGTCTTTAAGTGCCACTGTAACAAAACTCTCTCGGAGATCTCAGTGGACCTTCCGCACGCACTTTTCGCTGATCTAACGCCATGCACTCGCCTGAAAAGCTGAGGTGGTTGAAAGACGTAGATTACGCATGTTGCCTGTCCATGCAGTGAAACTGACCTAGTGGTGTAAAAAGATCCCAATCTTACCATCTTTGGTCAGTTTACAATTTGATAGTGATTGATCACTGCCCTAATGGCACACCTCTACAGTGATTATACATTTCCCCTCCATCCGGTGGGATTCCTCCAACGGTGATGTACAGTGATCGTAATGCAATCAAACTCCATGTAAGCCACCCGAAGCTGAACTCAAATGGTTTCGGCATAAATCGACACTTTTAGGAGCTTCGCACTGATAGCTGATACTTTCGCATTCCGAGAGATGATCGTCACCTATTCATCCCACTTGATGAACTGATACTGGGCGATTTTCTTCCATGTGTGATATTCTCGAAGGATGCACCATTTGCCCCTGTGCTACCCGCACTCTGAGTTATTTACTTTCCGTACAATTTTAAAGTCTTCAGCTTACCTATAGGGTCGATTAATCGCACTGGTTTGTAGCGTTTGTATGTTATCGGATGTGTCTGGAAATAGTTTCAAGCATTATCGCGTGTAAAACCTAGGCTCAGATCAATTGGCAAATAGGATTTCAGGAAGTATGACGATAAAGAGAGAGGTAGTCTCAGAATGTTCAAAATGATTCTCACCTCGGTTGTAATGAGTTTGAGTTTCACGCTGGGATCGAATACACATTCGTTGTCTTCGAGGGGTCTACTTTTGTGCTTGACTCTGAATGAGTGGGGAATTTGTAAGTAATAATGCGCGTCGGGAAGGGTAGTTGGGAGGGTCTACTCTCCAGAGAGGTTGCTTGTTGCACAGATGCGACGACGGAACAGATTCATTACATGCTACTCGACGTGAAAAAGTAAGAAGATAAAATTCACAGATTCATTACGATACCAGTCGGATCGCGCCGGCTGTCGCCGAGCGCTCCTCCTTCTGTGACATAGCCCGGCTTCGCCGGGCTGACGCGGATATTCCGCGTGCTAGATTACGAATCGTTGACCAACCATACTGTTCGAAGGATTGTTCTGCATCAGCCGAGAACTAAAAGCAGCGCAATCAAGCAGCGCCGGCCTTGTCAAGACACAGAAGCAGCAGCAGTTCCCGCGCATCACAGAAGGAGGAGCGGGCGGGCCTTAGCCAGCGATCTAACTGGTACGTTCATACACGAATATAGCAGCCTGTCAGGTTAACCGCAGAAGGATCCTACTGCTTCATGCATTCTCTACTCCTGAAGCGTCTCGCTGTGGAATGCACTCCTGCATTCAGCGTGGAACGCTTCGAATGGTCTTTACTAAGGTTGTTGATAAGAGATACTCATGGTAAGAGTGATTAAGTCTATTGCTGATGTTCACAACATCTCTGTA